TGTGTGACGTCCTTGAGATGGACATTTGCCACATTATTCTGGGGCGACCATGGCAATTTGACGTGGGAGCAACTCACGACGGGCGGAGCAATACTTACTCTTTTGACTGGAAGGGTCGCAAGATTATATTAATGCCTCAAACCTTGTCAGCTTCAGACAGAAATGAACAAGCCACCATGTTCGTTGTATCCGGGGCTAGTCTCATCCATTTGTGGCAGGAAAATTCGGTGATGTTTGCACTTATAGCTGAAGCTGCTGAAACCGGTCGAGTTTCACCCAATGTTCCATCCACTGTCCAACCGATACTCCAACAATTTACTGAATTTTGGCCATCTGAGCTGCCGAGTGCTCTACCGCCTCTCAGAGAAATTCAACATCAAATTGATTTCCAACCAGGCGCAGTTCAACCGTGCGCAGTTCCAGCTCTACTAGTGCCAAAGAAAGACAAGACTGTGGCGACTATGTATATGATAGCTCGGGCTATCGCGGGACAGTAAAAAAATTAGCGACATATAAGGTATTCAAAGTCTGCCTAGCGACCAATGTGCCAACAAAAGGTGCTGAGGGGACATCGGAAGCAATCGTTAGGACGGGATGTTGTACAAGGAAATGAAGGACGTATGTATGACCTGAACCAATTAAAGGTTGGTCTGAGGCCGCTGCAACTCGAATGCGGCTAAAGGGGCAGGGCGTATATCTGTAATCGGAATCAAATCACCTTCGCGACCGAACCGCGTACAAGCCGTCTGGGGGACGGAAATGGAGATTATGCTCACTGGACACGGAATAATTGTCTTGATTGCAGACGATAGCAGCCATTTCGGAGCATCAGTTTTAGTTATATCAGGGAGTGGCGCGTATCATGTCGACCTACTCTCGGGTTAGTGTATGAGCAAAACGCCTTCCGGCTACATTTATGAGGTTGATGAACGAGAATTGTCTGAACGAGCGTGGAGAAATCCGTTTAGCAGGGCGAAGATAGTACGCATGGATGTGTTCGTCTGACAGCGCAGGTTAATCAGAACCTGACAAAGTGTTCGGGTCTCGTGTTCAGTTCTAATCTCCAAAGATCAATTTAACAACATCTAACCTCCTTATTTATTGAAATCTTCGAAAAGCCTCACAAGTTATATCTTAATCTGCCTAAATGAGAGCTTTGCAACAAGGTTCATGTACGATTTTTTGGGGCTTCATTATTTCGTCAGGATAAGGCAAGCTAGAGTTCTAGGAAGATAGATCCACCGCGGGAGGAGAAAACGAAGATTAGGGTGAAAGCATCAACAGTGGGATTGGGTGGGCGACTCAGGACCGCTGGCAGGCATATTTCAGGACGCGCACGTGGCCTATCAGCCTCTAAGTATTGGAGCGGAAGGTGACGAGCCACGGAACTGTAGCTACGCGCAGCGGTGTACGTTTAGTGATCCGAAGTATTTGATGCCGGTCTGGTAACTTCTATCGGTGCGGTTATAATTATGTGGGAAACCATCTGGATGTCTGTCACTCATTGCTCGGGCAGACGCGAGCAGATCATTAGCATGATTGTCCTCACAGGCCAAAGCATTCCAGATGGGAAGCAGCACAGCAAGAATGGAGTTTTTGAAACGCGATCAAAGGCCGGCAAATTGACTTCTGACTCCCGTCCTCGCTGTCCCACGTACTTCCAACGAGAGCCTTTCCAGAAGTAAGACAGGGGGACCGATGCTTCTTCTATAAGGCATATGGAGCATGTGCTTTCACAAGAGGACAGAACCTATGAAGTATTTTTTCAAAGCGAAAAACTGAGCCCCAACACCGCGCCAGAAATTGTCGGCATAAGCGAACAAGAGTTGTATGCGGTTGCTTACGAAACCTGGTTTAGCGTTAAAACAGTGGGAAGCATAGTACCTCCCTGCATCAAAAGATTATTTTGTTCTTAATACTGACCAATACACGCATCTCCAGTATCATAAATCAAACAGAAAGACATAAACAAAAATGCATGCCACCGAATGGATCACTTTAATCTACAAAATTCAGCTTTGTATTGCGCCACAAGTCAGAGCTCAGAAACAAAGTAGCTGATTGCCCTATAGGCGGACCGTTTTTTGCTCACACAGATGCCCGATCTGCAGGGCCTATCAATAACGTTACAGGAGTTTTACTACGCCACGGATAGTGATTTTGCATGATCCTTGGACGCAAATTGATCTGCAGGCAACCGCTCACCAAAAGTGGGAAGATTTTCCATTCTAGACATGACTATCCTATTTAAAGGAAATCCAGCTGTGTGTTCCGAAGTTCATTGGAGGCGAACATCTCATTAAGGAATCATCCATTTGTGGTGGGGTTAGTGCATCATTGATCGGGCAAGACCAAAACCTTAAGAACATGAGTGCAATCTTAGATTTTATGGCCACACCTCGCCTGATGTAATTGTTTTGTTGACTGTTGTCCGGTTGAGTAGTCAAATTTAAAATGGCAATGCTCAGAATACTGGTTTAATACTCCCTTTGCCTGTGCTCGCAATCTATATGGAAGATTTAAGTTATGGATTTTGTGTTTGGGAGCTACCGAGAAGAAACGAACGGGGGCGACTCTATTATTGGAGGTCGTCGTGGGATTGATTTTAAAAATGGCTCACTTTCTACTCTTGTTTAAAAAACTTTTGTATGCCACTCAATGTGGCCAATGTTATTCTTTTTTTCAAAGAGATTAGGTTCGCCTTGACACCGGATACCTCGAGACACTTTACGTCGACCTGGCCGACGGTAAAATTTATGCAGTCACATTTTTGGAAACGCAACTGTGGAAAGATGATCACAAACTAGAATCAAACCTTATAGTTCCGCCTATCATCCACATGATGGCCCAATAACGAAGTGGTATAATCGGACCACTGGGAAGTATTGCTTCGCTCCTTGGGCCATGATCAACTCAAAACTAGTGGGAAGTACCGAGACCTTGGCCAAGCCCGAATTTGCGACTACAACTCCATGGTCCAACTCATCCTGTCCATTATTCATTCCACAACGTGTCCCATTTGTATTGCGTATAGCAACCAAGTTCCCATCATGCTAGTGATCATATGCGGGCTGCCGCGAATCCGGAGTAAATCAGCCACCCAAGACCTCTGAAGCGAGTATACTGAATGATGTTAGCTAGATATATTCGAACCAAGCTGGAGGCAAGCACAAGTGCAATATTAATAAGCAATGCAGACTGATTCCAAGCGTCCGCTTTAAGTCCGTTCAACCCAGGATGATCTAGTGAATGGTTGTCATCCGCAAAGAACGACTGTCCTCTAGGATCTCACACTTCAAAGCCCAGTCCTCGCAAAGTGGTCGCCTAACATACGATCCTTCGACGATGATCCAACGACAAATGCTTATGTCGTCGACCTTCCTCCACAGTATCTTACGCCTTCAACTTTTAATGTCTATGATATTTTTCCTTATGTACCTCCAGACTCAGGGCAAACTCAGTCCATTTCCTGTGACAAGGAAATTTCTACAGCCGGGGAGCCTGATGTGGAACAGGTTCAATCACAGGTTCTGGGTTGACCCATTACCGCAGCTACCTACTCTGCTTTCCTAACAAACTACAGCCTCCACTATCTTTTTCTGTTATTTCTGCAATCATTACTTACTGCCTTTACACATGTGCTGCCTAGTGGCACTATTTTAGTCTTTTACTGTTTTAGACTAAACCATAGTATTATACTAGTATGAGGAGCTATAGAAGACGGGTATTGAATTATTACAGTGGAAAATATACTCCTTCACCTGGAACCTCCGTTCTTCTTCCCCGTCTCCGTTTCCTTTCTTTCTCTGTTTTTCTTATTTGTTGCAGGATCAGTGTGTTCCATACACCAGTTGTATTTGTTCTGCTGGAGCAAGTTGGTCATTAGGGGATGTTCATTTTTCTGTCCGACTTTGGCTTTGATTAACACCTCTAGTAGTTTTGTTGCTTGATGGAGGTTATAGAGTCACTGGGTTTATAACTTCTGTAAGAGTAGGGTTATTATTAGATTTGAGTGGTTTGTTTTGGGGGATATGTGGAAGAGGAATTATCTGGCGATGCTTTGGTGTGCTGGAATATGCTGGAGCTATTTTTGGGTTATTGTATCAGTTGGTATTTCATCTATATAAATGAGTATTTTTCTTGTTTTATTTACTATCTATCTAATATATCCTTTTGGAGAGTTCATTGCAGGGGTAATTTATCTTTATATTTCCGGAACCTCAACGACTGCAAGGTACTCTTTTTTTTGGTTTCTTTATTTGCTTTTCTATTTTCATCAACAATTTTGCAGGAAGACTGTGCTGAACGGGATTTATTTGCTCTTCCAATTTTTGGTGCTGTATCTTCACATCCCGAGTCTTTATTTATGTTCTTTTTGTAATCTTAGGAAAAGGAACCACCGGCTCTTAGGTTTTCTTTCCTTTTTAATTGTAGCTCTTTCGAGCATTAGCGAGCTGGAGGATCTTTCTAAGGACTTTTGTAACCGTATTTTTATTATTAACGCGTAGGCCCCACTGTGGGTTTTAACAAAAAAAATGTCATGCAAGAAACTATTGACGAAGTCTCTAACTCCTCTCTCTCTCTC